TGTTTTATTTATTTTTATCTTTATAATTATTTTAATTTATATGTATTAATTTACATGTTAATTGGATTCAATGTGATATTTCTAGGCATGCAGACAGTGTACTAATCAGATATATTCACTTTTTTCCTATCATGCCCTCAATCCCTTCCCAATCTACCCTAAGGTCTATTTTACTATGATGTGTGTGTATTTTAGCTTCCATATATGAGAGAGAAAATGCAGCACTGTTCTGTATCTTATTTATTTCTTTTTTTAAGAGAGAGAGAGAGAGAGAGAGAGAGAGAGAGAGAGGGAGAGAGAGAGGGAGAGAGAGAAATTTTTAATATTTATTTTTTAGTTTTTTTTTGGCAGACACAACATCTTTATTTGTACCTGGTGCTGAGGATGGAACCCAGGGCCGTGCGCATGGCAGGCGAGCGCGCTACCGCTTGTGCCACATCCCCAGCCCCTAATTTATTTCACTTAATATACTTACCTTAAATTTCATCCATTTTGCAGCAAATAACAGAATTCTTTTTAATGGCACAATAATACTTCATTATATGTATATACTATATTTTGTTTGTCCACTCATCTGTTGATGAAAAGGTAGGATAATTCCACCTATGCGATTAATGACACAGTAAACATGGGCATACAGGAATCTCTTTGGTATCTCTTTGGTATGTTGATGTCATTTCCTTTGAGTGTGTATCCAGAAGTAGGATAGTTGTATCATATGGTAGATTTATTTTTATTTTTGGAGGAATCCTCATACCCTTCTCCTAATTGCTGATAATGCTCATCAACAGATGGCCTGAAAGCAATTTGATCATGGTTAATGATCTTTTGAGGTGCTATTGAATTCAATTTGCTAGTATTTGTTGAGAATTTGTGCATCTATGTGCATCATGGGTATTGGTCTATAGTTTTCTTTTGCTGTTGTTGTGTACCTGTCTGATTTGGATGACAAGATAATGCTGGCCTTGTAAATTTAGAAGGGTTCCTTTATTTTCAATTCTTTGAAATAGTTTGAGAAGACTGCTGTTCTTCTTATAGTTTGATAGGACTGTGAGTGTAGTTCCCTGGTAGAGTACCTGATTAACATACAGGAGGCCCTATCTTCAGTCCACAGCATTACAGAAAAAAAGTAAATAAATAAAGGTTTGGTAAAATTTGCTAGGGAAGCTGTCCAGTCCTGGAGTAATTGTCCTTTTTTATGAATGTGTTATAGTTATACATAATTCATTTTGATATAACCATACATGCATGTTATAAAATTTGCTCCATTTTAATCCCCAATGCTTTCTCTTTCCTTCTTCCTGCCTTCCTCTGAGCCCCTTTCTCTATTATACTGGTCTTCATTTATTGGTTTTTAGTTGGTGCTTTGTGCATCTGAATGTGTGTGTGTGTGTGAGTGTGTGTGTATGTGTGTGTATGGTGGATCCAGTATAATATATCCATATATGTACACAGCATAATTTGGTCAATTAATTTCTTCATTTCCTCCCATTTCTCATTCCTCCTCCTTCCCTCTTACTTCCATTCATCTACCACACTGTTTTTTTCCTTCTATATTCATAAGAACTCTCCCTAACTTTTTGCCTCTTATTTTAGTCAAGCTTCTGTGTATGAGAGAAAATATTTGACTCGTGATTATCTGAGTCAGGCTTATTTCATTTACCATGACTTTTTTCCAGTTTCATCGATTTAACAGAAAATACCCAAGTTTCATTTTAGTTTTGGCTGAGTAAAATTTCATTGTGCATATACATTACATTGCCTTTATCCATTCATCTATTGAAGAGCACCTAGCCTGGATCCATAACTTGGCTATTATGAATTGTGCTGCCATTGCTTTGCCTGTATTCTTCAGTGTTCTGATTTTAGTTCTTTTCAATAAATGCCAAGGGTTTGAATCAGTAGGCCATATGATGGTTCTATTTGTAGCATTTTGAGGAAACTTCACGCTGCATTCTAAAGTAGTTGTACAAATTTGCAGCACCCATTTATGTTAAAGTGCTGGAGAGAGCAGGGATAGAAGGAACTTACCTCAATATTATGAAGCCTATATATGACAAACCCAAAGCCAACATCATACTGAATGGAGAAAACTGAAAGCATTTCCTATAAAATCAGGAACCAGACAAGGATTTCCACTCTCACCACTTCTATTCAATATACTATTCAAAATTATAGCCAGAGGAATTGAGCAAGAGGAGGAAATAAATAGATAATCATTCATTATCCATTCATTATCCATTCATCTCTTGAAGGTCACCTAGGTTGTTTTCATAGCCTGGCTATTGTGAGTTGATCTACTATAAACATGGATGTGGCTGCATCAGTGTATTTTGCTGTTTTTAAGTCCTTAGGGTGTAGACCAAGACTGGGATAACTGGGTCAAATGGTGGTTTCATTCCAAGTTTTCTGAGGAATCTCCATACTGCTCTCCATAGTGATTACACCAATTTGCAGTCCCACCAACAGTCTATGAGAGTTTCTTTCTTCCTACACCTTCACCAACATTTTTTGTTACATCTGTTCTTTATAACTGCCATCTAACTGGAGTGAGATGGAATCTAATGGCAGTTTTAATTTCAATTTCTCTAATTTCTAGAGATGTTGAACATTTTTTCATATGTTTTTTGACTATTTGTGTTTATTCTTCTGTGAAGTGTTCTCTCAGTTCCTTTGCCCATTTATTGATTGGGTTTTTTGAGCTCTTTGTATAGCCTTGAAATTAATGCCTCATCTGAGGTACTGGTGGTAAAGATTTTCTTCCATTCTGTAGGATCTCTGTTCATATTCTTAATTGTTTCCTTTGCTGTGAAGAAGCTTTTCATTTTAATACCGTCCCATTTATTGATTCTTGAGTTTTCTTCAGAGGCTTTAGGAGTCTTGTTCAAGAATTCAGTTCCCAAGTCAATATGTTGGAGAATTGGGTTTACATTTTCTTCTAGTTACTGCAGGGTCTCTGCTCTAATGCATAGGTCTTTGAGCCACTTAGAGTTGAGTTTTATTCAGGGTGAGATATAGGGGTCAATTTCATTCTATTACATGGATTTCCTGTTTTCCCAGCATCCTTTATTGAAGGGGCTATTTTTTTCTCTGATGTATGTTTATGGCACCTTTGTCTATGATGAGATAACTGTGTTTATGAGGACCTGTGTCTTCTATTCTGTTCCATTGGTCTTAAAGTCTGTTTTGGTGCCAATACCATGCTATAGTATAATTTAAGGTCTCATATTGTGATTCCTCCTGCATCACTTTTCTTGCTAAGGATTCCTTTGGCTATCCTGGGTCTCTTATTTTTCCATATAAATTTCATGGTTTCTTTTTATATTTCTGTGAAGAATGCAATTGGGATCTTTATAGGAAATGCATTAAATCTGCATAGCACTTTTGGTAGTTTGGCCATTTCAATAATATTAATTCTGCCAATCCCCCCCAAAACAAAGTCTCAATGTTTTTTTCTGATTTGGGGATGCTAACCCAAAACAAAAGAGGTTGGTCAGTGGAATAATAGAAATCCATGAGACTGGACAAAAGGAAATGAAGGGAAGGGAGAGGTGAGGGGAATAGGAAAGAAAGTAGAATTAATTGGACTTAATTTTCATAGCTTTTTATTTGTATGCACAAGCAGGGAACTCCACAATATGTACAACCGCAAGAGTGAGAACCTTAAATAGAATGTTATACTTCCTGTATATTCTGCCAAAATACATTTTACTGTCATGTATAACTGAAAAAAAATGTTAAAACCCACCAAAAATAGATACAAAGGGGAAAGGAAGATGGCACATTATCACTGTTTGCAAGTGAAATGATCCTATACTCAGAAGGTCCAGAAAGCTCAGCCAGAGACTGCTTAATATCATAGACAAATTCAGGAAAGTAGTAGGATATAAAAACAACATATAAAAATAATGGATCTGATGAAAAAATAATCAAGAAAACTAATCCATTCATAATAACCTCAAAAACATAATGTAAAATTTTGAGAATAAACCTAACCAAGGAAGTCAGAGACCTCTATAATGTAATTAAAAAAAACCTATAGAACATTGTAGAGGGAAATTGAAGATGGCCTTAAAAGGTAGACAGACTTCCCATGTTCTTGGACAGTCAGAATCAATATTATCAAAATGGCCATATTACCAAAAGCATTATGCAGGTTAAATAAAATCCTCAGCAAAATATCAATGACAGTCTTAACAGACTAGGAAAAAAGTATGGAAATTACTTTGGAAGACTAAAAGACCAAGAGTAATAAAAAAAATCCTAAGCAAAAAAATTGATTCTGGAGCTAACACAACACCCAATCTGAAATGATGCCACAGAACTGTAGTACAAAAACAGCATAGTATTGGCATCAAATCCATCATGAGCACCAATGAAACAGAATAAAAGAAAACAGAGATAAATCCACATTGATATAGTCAGATGATCCTTGACAAAGCTGCCAAAAACGTACATTGGAGAAAAGATCTCTTTTTTAGCAAATCATGCTAGGAAAACTGGATAACAATATATAGAGGAATGAAACTACATCCCTAACTTTCACCCTGCACAAATGTCAAATCAAAGTGGATAGAAGACCTGTGAAAATTATGTAGAGAAAAGAGTAGTGAGCATAAATGAATTCACTAAGACTTAAAGGTCTTTTGCCAATCTTGAGATTTTTTTAAATGGATTTCCCTCAAAACTAGTCTTTATAGGCTGAGAAAGTACTATCATGTTCTTCTCATGTACATCCTATTTGATATCTGTTCAACATGCAAATTGTATTAAATTAATTAAATTAACTAATACAGCAGTGTAACAAAATTACCCTGTTGTGGATTTTTTTTTAAAAAACTCAAGTTTAGCATGCTTACTTTGTTACTTATGAGTTCTACTAAAATATTTTTTCAATAGTCAACAAATATTGCTTTCTGCAAGATACCAGTGTTTCTTTTTTTAAAATTTTACACTCAAATTTCCTCAAAAATATTATTTTTATTTGTTTTTGATGTTAATTATTGACTCTGTTTTATATCTAAGGCATCTTTCTTTTTGCAAAATAGCTTGATCACTCCTTCACGGATCTGCTTGGTCTTTACTCCATAGACAATGGGATTCAGAGTGGGAGGACATATCAGATAGAGATTGGCAATAAGGATGTGTACATGGTGGGGAATACTTTTTCCTCCAAAACGATGAGTAAAAATGCTAAATAATGCTGGAACATATGTGATGACTATAGCACCTAGGTGGGAGGTACAGGTGCCAAAAACCTTGTGACAAGCATTTACAGATGACAAACTCACCACTGTTCGCAAGATCATAGTATAAGACACAGAGATACAAAACATATCGAAGCCCCCAATCAAAATGGCTGCCAAAAGCCCATAGATAGCATTGATCTTGACATTGCCACAGGATACCTTGGCCACAGACATGTGGTCGCAGTAGGTGTGGGGGATGAGGTGGCCTTGGCAATAAGGCAGGCGTTTGGTGAGAAAAGTGAATGGGATGATGAGTATCACACTCCTTAAGAAAGTGGCAAAACCAGCCTTGGCGATGACAGGGTTGGTGAGGATGGTGGCATAGCATAAGGGGTAGCAGATGGCCACATAGCGGTCCAGGGCCATGAGCATGAGAACACCAGACTCCATCTCAGTCAACATGTGGACCAAAAACATCTGAACCAGGCAGGCATTAAAGTCTATCTCCTTAAGGTTGAACCAGAATATACATAGCATGTTGGGCACAGTGGTGGTGCACAAGGTGACATCAGTGGAGGCCAGCAGGGCCAGGAAGTAGTACATGGGTTGATGCAGGGCCTCCTCATGACTGATGAGGTAGATGAGTCCCACATTCCCCACAAGAGCAATGATGTACATGAGGCAGAATGGCAGGGAGATCCAGATGTGTGCAGCTTCCAGCCCAGGAACACCATGAAAGATAAAGTATCCTGGTGTCAGGCTGGAACTGTTGGCTCCAGACATGACTGACAGGAGGAGAGCATTTCACACTCTTTAACACTGACAGTTTCCTGCACAATAAAGTAAACCAATGGTAAGTAGAGAGCATGGAAACTTTCTTTTAACTCTATGAATTCTTTTTTTAAAAAAGTTTGTTCTTTTTAGAAATACATGACAGGAAAATGTATTTTGACATATTATATATACATGAACTATAACTTATTCTAATTTAGGAGCCCACTCTTTGGATTGTACATGATGTGGAGTGTCACTGGTGGTTAACTGTGTGATCTCAATTAGGCCTTTGCAATGAGAAGCTATCAGATTCCACTGGAGTCACACTGTCTAGTTTCATGCTCCACCTGATTCTCACTTCACATAGCGTGTAATATGAACACGTTGTTTAAACCCATTATGCCTCAGTTTTCTCCATCTAAATGAGATCATTGTATTGTTGTCAGGATTATTCACTAAGTTAATTTTATATTATGTTCTAGAAGTTTGAATAATGCAGAGTGAATAATTAATAGATATAATCAGTAATCACGACTGTTATTATTGTCACTTCTGAGTCAGTTTAGAGCATCCCAAGAGATCAAGCTTACCTTGGATAATAAATGTAAATTCAAATAAACCTACATACCCTTTGTAAACTCAAGTGCCATTGTATATTTGAGTTAAAAGGATAGTGTGGAATTTTGAAAATTTCAGCTACATCAAGAGATTGGCAAGTCAATTAAAGAAAATAAATTCTTTACTGTGATTGTCAGGAGATTTAAACACGTTCTTGTGTTTTAGTTAGGAAAAAATAAAAACATAAATGTGTTTTAAGATCTGGAATCAAATCCAGGAAAATTTCATTCAACTGATTCCCTTCAAAGATCTTCTTACTTCTAAGGTAACTAATCCTGTTTCTATTGGAATCCCCAAGAAGAGAATTGGTCTTTATGGAATGCTGCCTGTGTCTCTGTTTTTTTTTTTTTTTTTTTCATGTAGCCAGAAGCCACCAGAGCTACAATACTGGAGAAAAGACAGGATATCAGGAGAGGTAGGGATTTTAGGCTTTACACTGCTGGTTTGTAAAGCTGGTCAGCCATCACAGACTCATCCAAGCATCAATAATATCAATAAACATCAAACCATACTCGTTAGTTTACAAACAGACACACAAACTCAGAGCCAGTTTATCCTTTCCCCTCAACAGTTCATAAATATTTGTGTACAACCTCCCTCACAATGACACTCAAGGATTTACATGGATTATGCTGTTAGGCAAACTAATTATAAAATTAGAATACATTCAGTCTGTAGTTTTCTTTCTTTGAGGTGTCTTTGTCTGGTTTCGGAATCAGGGTGATGTTGGCCTCATAGAATGAATTTGGCAGAGCTCCTTCTTTTTCTATTTCCTGAAATAACTTGAAAAGTATTGGTATTAATTCTTCCTTAAAGGTTTTGTAAAACTCTGTTGTATACCCATCCGGTCCTGGGCTTTTCTTGGTTGGAAGTCTTTTGATTGCTTCTTCTATTTCATCTATTGTTATTGGTCTGTTTAAGTTGTGAGTATCCTCCTGACTCAGTCTGGGCAAATCATATGACTTAAGGAATTTATCGATGTCTTCACTATCTTCCTTTTATTGGAATATAGGTTTTCAAAATAATTTCTAATTGTCTTCTGTATTTCTGTAGCGTCTGTTGTGATATTGCCTTTTTCATCCCGTATGTTAGTAATTTGAGTTCTCTCTCTTCTTCTCTTCGTTAGCATGGCTAAGGGTCTGTTGATCTTATTTATTTTTTCAAAGAACCAACTTTTAGTTTTTTTAATTTTTTCAATGGTTTCTTTTGTTTCAATTTCGTTGATTTCTGCTCTGATTTTAATTATTTCTTGCCTTCTGCTACATTTGCTGTTGTTTTCCTCTTCCTTTTCTAGGGCTTTGAGATGAAGTGTGAGCTCATTTATTTGTTGGCCACCCCTGCTTGCTTACGAGGACCGTGTGCGTGGTATATTTTTTCCCAACCTTTCACCTTCAGCCTGTGTATATTTTTTCCAATCAGATGTGTCTCCTGGAGGCAGCATATTGTTGGATTTGTTTTTTTAATCCATGTTACCAGCCTATGTCGCTTTATTGGAGAGTTTAAGCCATTAACGTTTAGAGTTACTATTGATATTTGGTTTGTACTTCCAGCCATGTTTGATTATTTATCTTCTTTTTTTTTTAATTTAGTTTGTTTCTCCATGGTTAGCTTTCCCCCCGCCCTCTGTCTTTATAGAGGCACTTCCCACTGATGGTTTTGGTTACTGTTTTTCATTTCTTCCTCGTGTAGTGTTTTGCTCAAGATGCTTTGCAATGCTGGTTTTCTGGCTGCAAATTCTTTTAGCTTTTGTTTATCATGAAAGATTTTTATTTTGTTGTCGTACCTGAAGCTTAATTTTGCTGGATACAGAATTCTTGGTTGGCATCCATTGTCTTTCAGTGTTTGAAATACGTTGTTCCAGGATCTTCTCGCTTTCAGCGTCTGTGATGAAAAATCCGTTGTTAACCTTATTGGTTTACCCCTGAATGTAATCTGCCTCCTTTCTCTTGTAGCTTTTAATATTTTCTCTTTGTTCTGTATATTGGATATCTTCATAACAATGTGTCTTGGCGTTGGTCTACTGTGATTTTGTGTGCTCGGTGTCCTGTATGCATCTACAATTTGTATATCCGTTTCCTTTTTTATTTCTGGAAAGTTTTCTGTAATTATTTCATTCAGCAGGCTACTCATTCCCTTGGTTTGAATCTCTGTACCTTCTTCTATCCCGATGACTCGTAGGTTTGGTTTTTTTATGTTATCCCATATCTCTTGGATGTTTTTCTCATGGTTTTTAACCAGCCTTTCTGAGTTGGCTAGGCTCTTTTCAAGATGATATATTTTGTCTTTATTATCTGATGTTCTGGCTTCTACTTGCTCCGCTCTGTTGGTGATACTCTCAATTGAGTTTTCAATTTGGTTTATCGTTTCCTTCATTTCTAGAATTATTGTTTGGTATTTTTTTATAATCTCTATCTCCTGATAAAGATGCTTAACTTCTTCTTTTATCTGTTTATGTAATTCATTTTCAAAGTGTTCTTTCACTGTTTGGATTTGCTGTCTCGTATCTTCTTTAAGGTTCCATTCCATTTATCTAAGGTATTTCTTGAGTTCTTTATATGACCATTTTTCTGCTGACTCTAGGTCCTCCTGAATATTTAGGCTGTCCTTCATTGTTTGTACTCCTTTTCTTCCTTGCTTTTTTATGCTGCTCATGTTACTTCTTGTTCTGTTTGACTGCTGAGTTTCTGTTTACTCTTATAGATTTATTTGATGCTTGGGAGGAAAGATATTAGAAGGGAAGGGAAGAAGTCACTAAAGAGAATGAGAGTAGGCAGGTAGAATTCAAGGAAGGGGGAATAAGAAAATTGAAAAGAAATGAAAAGACAAAAGAAACAAAAATAACAAAGATTAGATAATAAAGAAAGAAAGAAAAGACGAGAAAAAAATTTTTAACAAAAGTAATAATGATAATAAAAAAATGAAAATTAAAATTTTAAAAAATAATAATAATAATAAAATAAAAAAAATAAAAAAATTAGAAACATTGAAAAAAAGTTAAAGAATAACAACAAATAAAAATTGAGAATGAAAGAAAAAGGAGAAAAAAAATGATAATAATAATAATAATAAATGCAGTCCTAGAGTTCTATTAACTTCTCTTCCAGTAGGTGGAGCTGTGCCCACTGGGCCAAGCTTCTCCTCTCAATAGGTGGGAACCATTCACTGTGCAGCAGCTCTTTCTCCTAGACTGGGCTGGTCTCCAATCCTGAGTGTCTAGGGCCTTGTCTTGTGTTTCCTCAAGCCAGGCCGTGCTCACCTGTGGCGCTCACCACAATACTGGCTATATGCCAGGTCTGCTGCTCCTGGGAGCCCTGTTTTCATGAACTCCTGGGCTCACTCTCCCTGTTTGCCTCCCTCAGACTCTAAGTTTGTAGAGCTTGGGGCTGAGATCCCCCAGCGAATTTGCTTGCCCTCCTGTAGCCATGCCCCCGGTAGCTGGTGCAAGAGCCCTCAGTTGTCAGCACTGGTGGGAGCGGTAGCCGGGAGTTCCGTGCCGCGAGTCCCGCGCCACTCCTAATTCCCTTGGTCTGGTTATTGTGTTCACAGGAGAGCTGGGAGTGGCCCTTAAGGTTTCCCCGCTGTGTGGAGAGAGATGGCTAGGGGATTACACACCTGTCGCGCTGGTTTCAATGCAGTTATCTCCTCCGCCCGTGATGCCATTTCTCTGCCATGGTGGTTTCCCATGCAAATGGTGACCGTTCGTTCCCTTTGCCGGGTGACCAATGCAACGGGTGGGTCCTGACTGTCTCTCCCAATCCCCGTTTCAGTCCTGTGGCCACTGCCTATGAAGGCTCAGTTGGCTTTTACCTCTGTAAGTTCTTAAGGGCCGACCAATTATTTCAGTGGGATCATTAGTGCTGAGTCACACGAAGCAGGTGAACCGAAGCTTAATTGCCTCCGATTCGGGCTCTGTGTGTGTGTTCTGAGGGGCCCAGCCTGTACACCCCAGATCCACATCAGCTCAGCATCCTAGTGATCCTGAGCAAACAGCATTTAGACAGTTTACAGCTCCCTATGCCCGTGCAGTTGAAGATGTCAGAGACTTGATCTCTCTGCGCCTGCCACCATGTTAGATCTCCTCAATGATATTCATGTTGCCCTTACAGCTTCCTGGCATAAGCAAGTTCTTGGGATTATACAAACTGCTGCTTCTGTTTCCAGTCCAGATTTCTAGAAATGAAACCCTGCCGCCGTCGCCTCCGTCTCTGGGCCGCGCTGACGGGCGCTGCGCTCGTCTGCGACTGTAGCAGAGCCGCCCTGGCCTCCGCACTCTTCAGCCCAGTGCCCGGCTCCTGGGGCCCAAGCGGCTTTCTTTGCCTCCGTTACTTACAATCCACTGCTGATTACACATTCAGCTTCTCTGCCCGGAGCGAAGCGAAAGAGGAAGCCTA